GGGTTTTTTGTTTTAGTGCCTCTGGTGATTCCAATGAACTATTACTATGGATTGATTACAAGGATTATCATTTATATCCATAGATTTGTATTATTACATGATTATATAGTATTTTTAGGGGAATATCCCTTTAAGATTGCTCACAAACATAAACTATATATTTCTCTACGAAAAAGCACTGAAGTTCTTTTAAAAATGTACTATAATACTCTCATTGGACGAGTATTTAATTCATAAAGCAGTATAGAAAAAGGCTTTACCATGTGGTTATTTCATATCGGCTATTTATTATTTAAATACCATAAAACATGCTTTATTTGAGACATGACCTCTCGTTTTTAGGGTTGTTACATCTCTGCAAATGTTGCTTTATGGCGAAATGACTTTCATATTTTCCTTTTTTCAATCCTGACTCCTGGAAAAACTCAGTCTTCTTCTGACTGACGAATCAAAACTGGTGAAAAATATGTGTTTGAGTAGATTAGAAAGCTGTAGATCTTTGTTTACTAGTTAGAAAAGTGTTTTAGAGTTTAGACATAGAATAAAACGACAGAGGCGTTACTCAGGGACACTTTCACAAAAAGGACGGCGCTGCTTTTGTGGCTGATTAACCCGCACACATAAGATAAAGATAAACCCCTGTCACATTTGATTTGATCTTATATTTTATTGCATGTTCTTACTTTAATTTTTCATGATTATATACATATTTTTTGTATTTATCTTTTACACAAAACCCAAATCCTCCCACAGGATAAATAAAGTATTCAGATGATTGAATATCCTTTAATACAAATGTGGGTAATTGTATAAACCAGCGGTTCCCAACCTTTTTCAACTCAGGGCCCACTTAAGAATCTGAAAAAATGTTCGCGGCCCACATTCAACCATAAACAACACGGAGGCTGAATAAAGTTCTCAGAGTACTTTTTATTTTAATTAGAAAAGGAGCTGGCCATCAGTAACAAGCAGATTTTTTTTGTACACGGTTTAGTTGAATACTCGATTCTTATTGGTCGATTCAGAACATGTGACACGTTGTTAATCCAGTAGAACAGACCGCTGTCAAGGACTGTAATGACCGTTGATAAGGAGGATCGAGAAAGAGAAAGGAAAAGAGGTTCAAATACAAATAACATCGTAATAATGAAATGTTTCCACACTAATTATAATGTTTTGCAAATTATTTGGCGGCCCACTTGCAATGCCTTCGCGGCCCACTAGGGGGCCACGGCCCACAGGTTGGGAACAGCTGGTATAAACAAACAATCAACTCATTTCATCACTCTACCTTTGCAAAAAAAAGTGCAAATTGCATTTAGCTTCAAAACGATATCACTGTGATTTTAATGTGATATCATACCTTTAATATATTTGTTTTAACACACCTTGAAGCTCCTCCCCTGCAAGTGATGCATTATTTATGGAGCGTCCAGGGGCCAAAATCCATCTTTTGTGATTTCGCCTCTTTTTCTGCATAGCACCCAATGTCAAAGCCTGTAACTGATTGAAACTGACCCCTCAGACTGTGCGATGCTAACACCGTGTGAACGTTTCCTCCAGATGTACATCGCTGTGATCTCCAGTCACGCTCTGGCTCTCTGCGGCTATCAGTTCATCACCTGCGTCAAAGTGCAGTGGAGCGGTGAGTCCTGAACCCTGCTGCTCACTCTGACTACAGTTTGACTTTATCTCTCACTTAAAGCGTCTTTGGGTTCAAGAAAAGCGCTATAGAAATAACATTTATTATTATTACTTATAAGACAAATCAAATCAACATGTATTATAGCCCCAAATCACAAGAAAGGCCTCAAAGGGCTGAAGCAAGCAAAGACAACAACTAAATACAAACGTCACACACTGAACAAATTGCTGCTCCAAAAACAACTTAAAGGTGGGGAAGGTCATTTTGGAGAAACCGGCTCGAGTGCGCTAGAAAATACACAGCCGTAACAAATCTGCCCCTTCCTCACAGAGCCCCTCCTCCAACACACGAACGCTGACATGACCAATGAGGGCACGAGATAAGTTTGTGCCCAGATGGAAGGCTGACAGGCAGGTAGGCCATCCAGTTACTTTAGCCGGGCCATGGAATATAACAAAAAGTGTATCTCGAGCCGGTTTCTCACACTTACCTACCCCACCTTTAAACAATAATGAAAACACGCTGCTTTCACTTGAAATAAGTACAACAATCTGCCAATAGAACAAGTGCACATTCGCGTGGTTAGATTTCTTGAAATAAGAAGGGATGTTTAGATAAATCACATCTTGTAATTAGCTGGAGAACTCATTTTGAACTATATGATTGATATACTTTATTAATCCCTCGTGGGGAAATTGTTTCTCTGCATCTGACCCATCCTAGTGTTAGGAGCAGTGTAGGGAACGGTGCCTTGCTCAGGGACACCTCGGTAGCACTTGGTCTTGCCGGGCCTTGAACTGGTGACCAAGCCAAGTCCCTATCGACTTCGCCACCACCGCCCCCATATTTCACCAGAATCAGGAAACGTTGTTACAATATAATCTGCTAATGCTCAAATGTGTTCTGTTTTCTGATGTTAGTTGGTGATTTTCTAATAAATAATTTGTGTGAAGAGACTGAGAAGCAAATGAAAATGGCCCAGAGAGATGTCCGAGACGAAGACATAAACACTCATTTCGTAAAATGTAGTTTTTGTACTATTTAGGTGCAATAGTCGCAGTTCAGTGCAGGGTTTGAAAACCTCGAGTCTGTGTTGATGTGTGAGCGCACTGACGCTGTTCCTCTTTACTCACTGATCTAAAGCTTGTTCTGTATATTAGTTATTTGAACAATGGTCGTCTGATGTCACCGTGTGTTTCCGTGTCAGAGTGCAGTGATTTCTCTCCTCCGGTGACCATGCTTCTGATGATCTTCCTCTGCATGGAGTCGCTCCTCTTCTTCACCTTCACCGCTGTGATGTTCGGCACTCAGCTGCACTCCATCTGCAACGACGAGACGGTGAGCACGGAATGAAATGACCCCAAACTGTTTACTGTTTAAATTGAAAAAATATCCATTGACAGCGTGGGTAGAACCATTTAAATGTCTGTCTGTCTGTCTGTCTGTCTGTCTGTCTGTCTGTCTCTCTCTGTGTGTCTGTCTGTCTGTCTGTCTGTGTGTGTGTGTGTGTGTGTGTGTGTGTGTGTCTCTCTGTGTGTGTCTCTCTGTCTCTCTGTGTGTGTACAGGAGATCGAGCGTCTGAAGAACGAGAAGCCCACCTGGGAGCGTCAGACTCGCTGGGCGGGGCTTCGCTCTGTCTTTGGGGGGGGGCCCGCCCTCTCTGCGGTGGATCAACCCCTTCGCCGGACTCAAACTACCAACCCTGCTGCCCCGCCGCTCCTGGAGGGGGGGGGGCAGAGTTCTCCGTCTGACGAGCTGTCCGTCAATTACCAGAGATGGCAAAAGTACACACATCCTTTCCTCAAGTAGAAGTACAGATACTCGTGTTTAAAAATACTGGTGAAAGTAGAAGTCAATCAATAGGCACGCAATGACTCTAAAGAATAATGATCACGCATCAAACACACATTCAGACTAAAGGAACCAGCTGTTTGGAAAATGAGAGAAGTAGAAAGTACAGGTATTTGAGTTCAACATGTAAGAAGTAGAAAGTACAGGTATTGTGTTCAACATGTGAGAAGTAGAAAGTACAGGTATTTGAGTTCAACATGTGAGAAGTAGAAAGTACAGGTAATTTGGGTTCAACATGTAAGAAGTAGAAAGTACAGGTATTTGTGTTCAACATGTAAGAAGTAGAAAGTACAGGTATTTGTGTTCAACATGTAAGAAGTAGAAAGTACAGGTATTGGGTTCAACATGTGAAGAAGTAGAAAGTACAGGTATTTGAGTTCAACATGTAAGAAAGTAGAAAGTACAGGGGTTTAGGGTATTTGGGTTCAACATGTGAGAAGTAGAAAGTACAGGTATTTGGGGTTCAACATGTGAGAAGTAGAAAGTACAGGTATTTGGGTTTCAACATGTAAGAAGTAGAGAAAGTACAGGTATTTGAGGTTCAACATGTAAGAAGTAGAAAGTAACAGGTATTTGGGTTCAACATGTAAGAAGTAGAAAGTACAGGTTATTTGGGTTCAACATGTAAGAAGTAGAAAGTACAGGTATTTGGGTTCAACATGTGAGAAGTAGAAAGTACAGGTATTTGGGTTTCAACATGTGAGAAGTAGAAAGTACAGGTATTTGGGTTCAAACATGTAAGAAGTAGAAAGTACAGGTATTTGAGTTCAACCTGTAAGAAGTAGAAAGTACAGGATTTGGGTTTTCAACATGTAAGAAGTAGAAGACAGGTATTTGGGTTCAACATGTAAGAAGTAGAAAGTACAGGTATTTGGGTTCAACATGTGAAGAGTAGAAATGTACAGGTATTTGGGTTCAACATGTAAGAAGTAGAAAGTACAGGTATTTGGTTCAACATGTAAGAAGTAGAAAGTACAGGTATTTGGGTTCAACATGTAAGAAGTAGAAAGTACAGGTATTTGGGTTCAACATGTAAGAAGTAGAAAGTACAGGTATTTGGTTCAACATGTAAGAAGTAGAAAGTACAGGTATTTGAGTTCAACATGTAGAAGTAGAAAGTACAGGTATTTGGGTTCAACTGTAAGAAGTAGAAAGTACAGGTATTTGAGTTCAACATGTAAGAAGTAGAAAGTACAGGTATTTGAGTTCAACATGTAAGAAGTAGAAAGTTCAGGTATTTGAGTTCAACATGTAAGAAGTAGAAAGTACAGGTATTTGGGTTCAACATGTAAGAAGTAGAAAGTACAGGTATTTGTGTTCAAATGTAGAAGTAAAGAAAGTACAGGTATTTGGTTCAACATGTAAGAAGTAGAAAGTACAGGTATTTGTGTTCAACATGTAAGAAGTAGAAAGTACAGGTATTTGAGTTCAACAATGTAATAAGGTAAGTAGAAAGTACAGTATTGAGTTCAACATGTAAGAAGTAGAAAGTACAGGTATTTGAGTTCAACATGTAAGAAGTAGAAAGTACAGGTATTTGAGTTCAACATGTAAGAAGTAGAAAGTACAGGTATTTGAGTTCAACAATTTAAGAAGTAGAAAGTACAGGTATTTTGGGTTTAGAAATGCAAGAAGTCAAAGTAAAAAGTCGTCAGGAAAATAAGTAGTGGAGTAAAGTACTGATACCAGAAAAATGTACTTAAGTAGAGCAACAAAGTATTTGTACTTCACTACTTCCCACCTCTGATTATTAGTTATTTTCTCACATTCCCCTTTACATACAATAGTACTCCACTTTAACAGTTTCTTTAACAAGGGCTCACAACATGTTTGAGTCTCATATCCTAAAATGTCAACATGAGAATATGAAAAACTTAATGTACAGAAATCAAATCAATAATGACACCGAGAATGTAAATAACAAAGGCATAACAAAAATAAAATAAAAGATGGGTTATATATAAGGTCATCCTACATATTACAATAATACAGTCCAATATTCTTACTGGAGGAGAAGGAAACAAAAGGACAGATTAGGAAACAAGAGAGGAGACTAGCCCTGGATCTGAACCTGGATGGAGGAGAGGAGGGAGGAGACAAGGGAGGAAGGGAGAGAGGAGACGGGCAATTCAGTAGATAAGAGGAAGTAAGGAAAGGAAACAAAAAAAGAGAAGAGGAAACGAAGAAGACTATGGGACTAATGGGGTTAGGAAGGAAAAGACAATAAGAGAGGAGATACGAGGAAACAGGAGATGAAAATAGGAAAGGAAATAAGAAAGCAGATATGAGGAATCAAGAGAGGAGACAAGGAAGAGAATAGAACATGGGCTAGTGAGGGGAGGAAGGACACGAAGTGAGAAGACATTAAGGTAGGAGACGAGGAAACAAAACAATAGAGGAGAAAGGGAGAGGAGATGAGAGATATCCTTATCTCCTCTCCCTTTCTCTACTAGAGGAAACAAAAACAAACGAGACCAGAAAATGTTCCTACTTTTGCTATGCTATTTTATTTCTATTGACATGTTTACATTTTGGAATGTTTATTTTGAGTCTTTTAATTGTTATTGTACAAATGCCCTGTCGTTGTATGCTGCAACGCAAACATTTCCCACATTGCGATCAATAATTCTTATCTTATCTTATCAGGGGGAGAACAGCAGGGGGTCTGCCTCGAGACTCAGAGCCCAAAGAGAGGTCTCCGTCGGGGGGGGAGGCTTCAGGTGTGTGTCCCCCTTAAAGATTAAAGACGCTGCTGCTGCTGGATGTGAAGAAGTGTTCAAAGGGTTCACACTGAACGACAGCAGAGTCAGACCCGGGGATCATCTGCTCAATCCATCATCATTTTATGGGGAAATCGCAACTTGGATGAGTGCAGTAATCACATTGCATTTAGCACAATATTATAAGGGTAAATATGTAAAAATGTATGAATCAAGTAAAGCAACGCAAGTTTATTTATTCAGCACAATATCAAAAACACCTGTGTCTCAGTGGGCTCTACAGATCAACACACAGAGTGTGTGGTGTCATTGACATTGACAAGAAATTCAAAGTGCTGTACAAACACATAAAGCATTACAATGTAGTGACATGACATTGAAAACAGTCAAGAGAACAATTTCACCGAGCTAAGATAGAATAAGACGGGTATAAAATACAAGCGTAAAAGTCACAGTTCGGTTTGAGATATAAATCATTTTTACAATTAAATCGGAAGCAGCTGCAAAAGGAAAATGTGGAGCTGCATATTTGTTTGGTACAGATCCTCTTAAAGGGGCCCTATTCTGCTTTTGGGGGTTTCCTCTTGCCTGTGGTGCTACTGCTTTCTATAGGTTTGTGTGCATGTAAATGGTCTGCAGCGGCTAAAATCCCTGCATTGGACTCCTTTGTTGACTTCAGGAACATGGTGACATCACTACAGAACACTCGCGCTCCTATTGGCTTGAGCTCCAACACATCGTACGTGATAGGCTAAGGGGCGGGACATCTCTAAGCTGGTTGACCAATCACAACAGAGTTGGCCAGCTAACCAATCAGAGCAGCTCTGGTTTCAGACAGAGGGTGAAAAGAGGTGCTGCAGCACAGGCAGTATGAGAACAATAAAGAGCTTTCTGAACATCAAAGCATGGAGACGTGTCCCAGTAGAGGAATAGCAGAGTAAAGCCCCTTTAGAGATGTCAAAGTAGTCATTCAACTTAATATTACAATGAGGTTCCCTCCAATATCATAAATCATATCACAATTGCAATATCAGTCAAAATAATCACAGTTGGTATTTATTCCAAATTGTTCAGCCCGAGTCTGAAGGTTTTTTTGTTTTTGCTCGTGAAGACGCTGGATTTTCTAAAAGCATCTGCTGCCAGACATTACTATGTGAGGAAACAACTTCTCTGACTATAGCTGCTCTGGTTTGATCTTTATTTTTGTATATTCTATCATTTAACTGCTCTCTGTTTCTATCAGGGTTTCCGTTAGAATACAATGTCTGCAGTTCATGGGAAAAAGCACGAATTATCTAAAATACTGAATGAATGAAAGATAATTTGAAAAAATATATTGTGTGTGTGTGTGTGCGTGCGTGACTCGCTCTGAGTCACTGCTGTCCCCCCTGGGTGCACAGCCAGGGCAACAAGAAGGGTTTATTATGTATGTGTGTGTGTTGGAGGAAGAGTAAAGAGTGTGTGTGTGTGTGTGTGTGTGTCTCCTTGTACGTGCATTAACATCCATACATTTGTGTGGCTGTGTGTGTGTGTGTGTGTGTGATATTTAATTCAGTTAACACTAATAAGATCCAAATTTAAATCTGATGAGAATCACAGAAAACGGAGAGATTTAGAAATATGTCGGATAACAGAAACCCTGGTTTGCATCCATTAAATCAAATATCCTTCTTTAAAATGTCCTGTGGAGTTTTGTTTTTTAAAGTTTTAAAGCCTTCAGTTGGAGTTTCTGACTAAAACACACTGTGGATCTTTAAAGCTTAGAGTGATTAATATCAATTCACTTCCTTTCTTCTTTAAACTATTTTGTACGGTTGAGTTAAATCTCCCTTCAATAAATCAAACACTGCAATATTTAATATCTTTACATCCAACTTTTCTACAAGTTGAAAGTCATAGCACAATTGGGTTTTCTGCAGAACTGATTATTTCCTGTCTTTGTTTGTTGTGAGAGTTCTTCATCAAAAACTGCACAAACGTGTCGTAAATAACGTGTTTAAATGTGACGAATACAACCTTTATAAGGCAACCTGTTCTACGTTTCATTCAGAAAAATGTCTCGAAAACAAGTGTGAAGTTTTGCTGTCAGACATCAAGGATTGTAAAAGTTGTCATGCCAAAAACACTCCAGTATTTAGCATAATTGAAGCTATGGTATATCTATTAGCCGCAGCATTGCGGGTTGAAATATCGATAGGATAAATGGATCTAATACTTCGAATAATGTCTAAAATAACGGCAAAAAAAAATGACATTCCCATAAGCCTCAGCAGATCTTTGTTTTAAGTATGAATTTGCCAATGTTAGCATGCTAACACGCTAAACTAATACCATGCTAAACATAAGCATGTTAGCGTTTTAGCTGCATTGACATTCAGCCTCACATGCTACTACCGTCACTTCAGACTTTTATTCTTCATTTTTTGGGGTCGAAATGATTACACAAAAACTTTAACTCCAAGTGTGAAGTTTTTCTGTCAGACACCAAGGATTGTATAAGTTGCCATGCCAACACACTCCAGTATTTAGCATTATTGAAGCTAATGGTATTTCTATTAGCCATAGCTCTGCGGGTAGATATATTGATCTATCGTTGGGATTTATTTGTTTAATACTTCAGATTTTGACTAAAGATCTCCAAAATAATTGACGTTCCCCGCAAGCCTCAGAGGTTTTCTGTGTTAATTGCGAATTTGCCAATGCAACCATGCTAACACGCTAAACTAATACCATGGTAAACATAAGCATGTTAGCATTTAGCTGCGTTGACATAAAGACTTTAATTCTTCTTTTTTTGCCTTGATTTGGGGATTTTTAACTACAAATAATATAAATGAAAGGTGGGGTAGGTAATTCTCTTCAGAAACACTTGTTATATTCCATGGAATGCTCTGAACATCCCGATAGCAATGAATAAATTAAATGCTTTGACAATAAATACATAAAAAAATATCATCAGTGGAAGCCGTGGCGCTGTAAAAAGCACGACCAATCATCTGAGTCAGCCCGGCAAAAATAACTGGATGGCCTACCTGCCTGTCAGCCTTCCATCTGGGCACAAACTGATCTCGTGCCCTCATTGGCCATGTGTGCGTTCGTGTGTGTTGGAGGAGGGGCTCTGTGAGGAAGTCTGAAGGAAGGGGCAGATTTTTTTCGGTTGTGTATTTTCAAATTCTAGCGCACTCGAGCTGGTTTCTCCATTCTTACCTACCCCACCTTTAAAGTGGTAAAACAAGCTCTGTTGATGAAATCTCCTGAATAACAGGGCAGTTAAGAACAAATGTGCTCATATGAATGTCTATTCTTGAGGCCTTATGTCCTCAAAGGGCCCATTCTTTGTATATGTTGTCAAATGTTAAGTGTGTGTGCAATGGGATTGAACCTTTTGTGTGTTGTTTGACATTCCCGGAGAGCATGATATGTTTTGTGGTGTGTTGTTTATTACCCAAGTACAACCTGTTTTAACCCCCAGCTTCAGAGGATAAACAGCTGATTCCTTCTGGTTATTTAAAGTTTTCTTTACTGATTATTCGCTAAATGTATCTGGAAAAATGTTCTTATGAATAATGACAACTCTACAAATTAAATCAGGGTGTCTGCAAGTCTTGAAAAATATATTGAACACTTGAATGGCGTTAAAATAAAACGTAAAATAGTTTGACATCATTTTGAAATGCTTTCATATCAAATCAGTCCTGCAGACATTGTGATCTAATGTTTTCATATTTTATTCTGAAAACACCTGAAAGTACAACTTTAAACAGACGGTTGACTTGGAGAACGTTGTTGAAAAGAAAAACCAGAGAGTTTGACTTGCAGAGAATGTATCTGAGTTGAAGTCACTTTACATTTGTTTCTGTGATTTCTGAGATTTTGATATGTTGATTTGTTTCCACTTTCAATAAACGGAGTCCCTTTCTACCTCTTGAAAGAATTTCAGCTTGTTTTTTATTGTTATAGTGGGAAATGAATCCATTGACAGCACCTAATAAATATACGTAGTGGATGTAAAAAGGTGTAAAAAAGAGAGCAAAGGAGAGGGAAAAACTGGATTTGTATTTAGTTATCTATATCTAGCTTCCAGGAATGTCTTCTTGGAGCTGTGTCACTTTGAGAGCAAGTGGGGAAAACAGTTTTGTTTTTGACTTTGAAAGTGAAAGTAAGAAGTTCATTTTATGGCAAGCCGATTTAGCTTTTATTCATTTCTGGAGGATTAAAAAAAAAAAATCTATTCTTACTAGTAATAATGTTTATTTCTGATATAATTTTTTTAAATGTTAAGTAGTTAGAATGCAAAGTCTTGATATCAGAAATTCAATTAGTAACTAGTTGTAATGTGTATTTCTGATATCAGAAATGCGATTTTAAAGGTGGGGTAGGTAATTCACTTCAGGAACACTTTTTGTTATATTCCATGGAACCTATCAGGCTCTCCTCTCCTCTTTCTCTGCTTCGATCTCTCAGGCAAAAAGCACTTTCTTTCAAGATAAGATCCAATCTTCCTATTCTAATCCCAAAAAACTATCTTCCATCTTCTCCTCCCTCCTGGACCCCCCCAAAGCCCCTTCCCCCTCCTCCCTTCTGTCAAGCGACTTTGTTAACCACTTTGAAAAAAAGGTTGATGATATTCGCTCTTCTTTTTCTGACTCACCTCTACTCACCGCTGGGTCACCAGACCCCTCCTTCCACCAACACACTTACCTCCTTTTCCCCTCTCTCTCCAAGTGAGGTTCTTACCCTCATTACCTCTGCCGCCCCTACCACCTGTCCTCTGGACCCCTATCCCTTCAAACCTCCTTCAGACTATCGCTCCTGATATTCTACCGTTTCTCACCCATTTCATCAACACTTCTCTAACTTCTGGTCACTTTCCAAACAGTCTCAAGGAGGCAAGAGTAAACCCTCTCCTAAAGAAACCCACTCTCAACCCGTCAGATGTTATAAACTACAGGCCTGTCTCTCTCCTCCCGTTCCTGTCTAAATCACTTGAACGCGCTGTCTTTAAACAACTCTCCTGTTATCTCCATCAGAACAACCTTCTGGATCCGCACCAGTCTGGTTTCAAGGCAGGTCACTCCACAGAAACTGCCCTCCTTGCTGTCACTGAGGAACTGCACACTGCTAAAGCAGCCTCCCTCTCCTCTGTCATCATCCTGTTGGACCTGTCTGCTGCATTCGACACGGTGAATCATCAGATCCTCCTTCGCACTCTCCAAGAACTTGGAGTTTCAGGCTCTGCACTTTCCCTCATCACCTCATACCTCAAAGACCACACCTACAGGGTTACTTGGACAGGGTCGGAGTCCGACCCTTGTCAATTAACTACAGGGGTCCCTCAGGGCTCTGTTCTCGGTCCCCTCCTCTTCTCCTTGTACACAAATTCGCTCGGATCTGTCATTAGCCCGCATGGTTTTTCTTACCACTGCTACGCTGACGACACTCAATTAATTCTGTCCTTTCCCCGCTCAGAGACCCAGGTCGTCGCACGCATCTCTGCTTGTCTAACTGACATCTCTCAGTGGATGTCTGCTCATCACCTCAAGCTCAACCTTGACAAGACTGAGCTGCTCTTCCTTCCGGGAAAAGATTGTCCCACTCTTGACCCAACAATCAACATCGGCCCCTCTGTTGTTTCCCCGACTCAGACTGCAAGGAATCTGGGTGTGATCCTAGATAACAACCTGTCCTTCACTGCAAACATCGCTGCTACAACCCGCTGCTGCAGATACACGCTTTACAACATCAGGAGGATACGTCCCCAGCTGACACAGAAAGCCACGCAGGTTCTGGTCCAGGCTCTCGTCATCTCAGGCCTAGACTACTGCAACTCCCTCCTGGCTGGTCTACCTGCATGTGGCATCCGACCTCTGCAGCTCATCCAGAATGCAGCGGCTCGTCTGGTCTTCAACCTTCCTAAATTCTCCCACACCACGCCGCTCCTCCGCTCCCTCCACTGGCTTCCGGTAACTGCTAGAATCCACTTCAAGACAATGGTACTTGCGTACCATGCTGCGAATGGATCTGGCCCTTCCTACATCCAGGACATGGTTAAACCGTACACCCCAGCACGTGCACTCCGCTCTGCATCAACCAAACGGCTCGCTACACCCTCGCTGCGAAGGGGACCCAAGTTCCCATCAGCAAAAACACGTGGGTTTGCTATCCTGGCTCCAAGATGGTGGAATGAGCTCCCCATTGACATCAGGACAGCAGATAGCTTACACACCTTCCGGCGCAGACTGAAAACTCATCTCTTTCGACTCCACTTCGAGCAATAGAACTATTAACAAAGCACTTATATACTTATCTAAAGCCAGTTGAGTAGCACTTGAAATGTTTTTGCTCTATGAGGCCTGATGTACTTATATGATTCTGTTTTCTTCAAGTTTGTATTTTGTTGGTCGAACGCACTTATTGTACGTCGTTTTGGATAAAAGCGTCAGCTAAATGCAATGTAATGTAATGAATGCTCTTAACATCCCGATAGCAATGAATACATTAAATGCTTTGATAATAAATCCATTAAAAAATGTCCATCTGTGGAGGCCGTAGTACTGTAAAAAGCACGACCAATCATCTGAGCCGGCTAAAGTAACTGGATGGCCTACCTGCCTGTCAGCCTTCCATCTGTGCACAAACTTATCTCGTGCCCTCATTGGTCATGTGCGCGTTCGTGTGTGTTGGAGGGGGGGCTCTGTAAGGAAGTCTGAAGGAAGGGGCAGATTTCTTCCGGCTGTGTATTTTCAAATTCTAGCGCACTCGAGCTGGTTTCTCCATTCTTACCTACCCCACCTTTAAGTAGTGAGATTTGCATAGTTTTTTGGAGAAACCAGCTCGAGTGCGCTGGAATTTGAAAATACACAGCCGGAACAAATCTGCCACTTCCTTACAGAGCCCCTCCGCCAACACACACGAACGCGCACATGACCAATGAGGGCACGAGATAAGTTTGTGCACAGATGGAAGACTGACAGGCAGGTAGGCCATCCAGTTATTTTAGCCGGGCCGGCTCAGATGATTGGTCGTGCTTTTTACAGCGCTACGGCTTCCACAGATGATGTTTTTTTATGGATTTTTTGTCAAAGCATTTAATTTATTCATTGCTATCGAGATGTTAAGAGCATTCCATGATGGAATATAACAAAAAGTGTATCTCGAGCCGGTTTCTCAAACGTACCTACCCCACCTTTAACGTTACATTTTTTATATTAGAAATAAACATTATTATTACTAAGAATAGATTTTTTGATATCCTCCAGAATTGAATAAAAGCTAAATCGGCTTGCCATATTGTTATGAATACAAATTGAATTGTAACTAATAACAATTTAATTCCTGATATCCTTTTTTTTATTTTTAACGAGTTCAAATTGTATTTCTGATATCAACAATTGGCATTTTGACTAGTTCAAATTGTATTTGTATTTATTTATAGAAGGACCATTAATCTCAGAAAAGAGAGGATTATAGCTAATAGCTAATAGCTCATTTCCATCTGTGGTCCTCAAATTGAATTCTTGATATCAGAAATTGGTATTTTTACTAGTTCAAATTCAATAGTAATTAGTTGTAATTTGTATTTTTGATATCAGAAATACAAATTACAACTAGTTACAATTTAATTTAACTAGCTAGAATTTGCATTCTAGCTAGTTAAATTCAATTTTTGATATCATAAATAAACATTGTTACTAGAAATAATTGATTTTTTTATATCCTCCAGAAATTAATAAAAGCTCAATCGGCTTGCCATACCATTTCTCTATTCGACAGAGCAGGAGGAAAACAACAGGATGAGTGTTAAAACCAGGCTCTATTATTATTTAGTCAGTTATATACTGTTCTGTCAAACTAAACATCCGAGAGCCAAATACATGTGCACTTTTCCCCTTTACTGGTTTCGGATCTTTCATAGCCTACGTCCTCAAAATGTAGGGCAGTCTGTCTGAAGCATAGATGTTGTCTGAACTTATTAGTTGTATTTAAGAACAATATTTGTTTGGTGCAGAAGTCCTCTGTAAACTGTTACATTCCATATTATTTCAATTGTGTTGCTTTCTCATTTGAAATTGTAGTCAATGTTAATAACTTCATGAAACCTCAGATTTTTTAAATTTAGGATCGTGTTTAGTCTAGAAAAAGGTAAATGTGTGCATTTTATTATAAAGTTGTGTATATTTAAAGACTGTTGCAAAAACTAAGAAGCTTATAAACATCAGGCTAAAAACTAAATTAAAGATTTTTGGAGTTTTATTTAAATTGTAGTTATTAATTTAGAATTGTTGTCCAAGAGATGCCGGGGAGAGAGAGAGAGGAGTTTGTTCCAAAGCTTTCTGCTGTTTTTACACCCTCAATCTGATAGGAGAGAGACTCATTTAGCTGTGAGTTTCGAGTGGGAGTGGGTAGGGTGTGGTTTGGAGTTGGGCCTACTGTTTTCACGGAACTATTTGTAAGCAGCTTGTTTCCTAACGGACATACACATCCATGAGTCCTTTCAGATGGAGCAAATCCACGGGAGCAACAGGTGATGCAGACTCGCTGTTGAAGGGCGCTATACGTTATAACTATAGGTTATAACCCACTCCCCCTCATCACTCGTTGGTTTGGAACAACACTTAATGTTGCGAGAACACGCAAACGGAGGGGTAGTGTGTAGGTGGCGGTTTGGAATTGGGCAAAAATCCATGGAGTGAAAAATGCTAGCGGAAGTTAGCTTAGCGCGCTAGCTCCACATAGACGGTGACGGAACTTGACTACACAGCGTTCATTGCAGAGACCAATCTGTATTATTTGTCAGGGGAAAACCGTCAAAACACCTATCTGAATGGAGTTTGCGGTGTTTATGGCTTAAGAAACGTCTGGAATATCTCCCCCACGAAGCTAAGGATGTTAGCTTTCTAGCTCGAGACGGACGAGAACGTAGCCTAGCAACAC